GCTCAACTTTGCTGATCTTACCCTGGACATTTTTCTGTCTCCTGTCTCCTTCAAGGCTTTGCTCGCATGTTACTTAATTGGTTCTCCTTACCATTTCTACTTTATTTTTCATAACAGAAGTCACTTTGTAACTTGCAACATAATGTTTACTTATTTCACTGTTTGAAATGCATTTACCACTATTAGAATTGAACCTCCACATGTGTTGTGTCACAAACACACTAATTATCTGTGTCCTGGCAGGTCCTCAGTGACTGTTTAATTCATCAATGTGTGCAACAACACCTTCCAAATATCTGTCAAATATTTTGGAGGACATATACCCCCTTGAAAAAAATTCCTGTTTTATATTTTTATTTAAAATTATGTTAAAGAGCCACAATTTAGGTTTAACAACTAAAATCTTCAGTAAAACAAATTAATATACAACAAAAATTGACAGGCCAGCCTAGAATATATTTGGTCAAAAGTAAAAGAACTGATATATTTATTAATGCAATTTGTAGAAAAATGTGAGGCTATTAAAAGTAAAAAGTATGGATTACCTTTTTTGTGACTAGAAAAACAACACATAGGTTGAAGGGTTTTTGTTGTTGTAATTTCAATTAGTGAAGTTGGTAGATCATGTTATTCTCTTGGTACTTACTAAGTATGCATCAAATATTCATGCATCTTAAGATGCTTTCTTGAAGCATTTATTTATTTTTCAATCTATCATTGAGATAATATTCTTATTTATTAAAAGCATTGTTTAAAAAAATTCTGCAGCTCATTAGATTATAGGAAGTGTCAGTAAATATTTGTTGGTCAAATTTCAAATAATGAATAGAGCTTGGCAAAAGAGGAAGACTTGGCATCTACAAAATTATACCACATAAAAATAGTTCCAGAATAAGTAGATGTCTGTAGGAAAATTGTGTCTCTTGTGGATTATTTGAAATCAATATTCAATTTGTAAGTACATTTTATTGATTATGCTATTACAGTTGTCCCAATTCTTTTCTCCCCTATATCCCCCTTATCCCCACTCTGCCCTGTATCCCCCCATCCTCCAGCATTTCTCACCCTTTAGTTCAGGTCCATGTGTTGTACATATAAGTTCTTTGGCTTCCTTATTTCCTATACTATTTTTAATCTCCCCCTATTTTATGCCTACCAATTATGCTTCCTATTCCCCGTACCTTTCCCCCCAGTCTCCTTGCCCCTTCGCACTGATAACGCTCCATTTCTGTGAGTCTGTTCCTGCTCTAGTTGTCTGCTTAGTTTTTGTTTTTTAGGTTCAGTTGTTGATAGTTATGGGTTTGTTGTCATTTTATTGTTCATAGTTCTGATCTTCTATTTCTTAGATAAGTAACTTTGACACTTCATATAATAAGGACTTGGTGATGATGAACTCCTTTAACTTTATCTTATCTGGAAAGCACTTTATCTGGCCTCCCATTCTAAATGATAGCTTTGCTGGATAGAATATTCTTGGATGTAGGTCCTTGCCTTTCATGAAGTCAATATTCAATTTAATAAAGGATATGCTTAAAATAATTAGGAATGATAATTTCTTTTAAATACCATACCATATGCAAGTGACTGTCATAGCAGGATTTAGAGCAATACACTAAAATATGTCAATTTGACATGATTTAATATTATTCACAGTGATGATATGTGTATGAATATAATTTTCAATCTAGAAAACCATATCAATGTGTATGTTAGAAAGATATTGTTCAAGTAAATAAAATGTCAACCTAAAATAACAATGAGATCAAATATGTGGAGTTGACTCACTTATCTGTAGTTTTTGGATAGTCCCCACCCTCTTCTCCCAACCCTTCCCCGACCCAACTCTCAAGTCCTATAGTTAAAACAGTCTTCCTGAATCAGAGGTGAGATGAATCAAGTACAAAGTTGTTTAAGGAATCTGATTCAAATGGAGATAATAAAGCTATATGTATGACACAAATATTATCAGAAATAAGTTAGTTCTTATTTGGTATAAGTTTAAAAGCAGTATCTTATATCTGTTCAATGTTTACAGTAGAAAATAAGGCTCTTCTAGCAGAGTCACAAAATTATTTCAGAGGTGCTAAATTACATAACAGAAAGTATCCTTACAGAAATGTTGGTGGGAAATATGCCCATATCTTAAAATCTAGGCAAAAAATTTCACCTTGAATGTTAGTGCAAGTAGAAAGTCTCAGTCATTGTTTACCTTGGAAAGCTCTTTAAATTTAGGCATTTACACCATTTGATAAATAATATAGTCGTGTCTGTGAAAAGGAGTTTCAAGTCATCATTTGGTTTATTCATTGTAAGCCAGTTTTTCCCAAAAAGACATTGCCTCCTATACTTCTTATCTAGTACTTCCTATAAGTCATATGGAATCAAAGTAGAAACACATAATTAGCCAATGACAGGTTCATCTATAGAGTTAATAAATTATTTACTTGCATCATGCCTATATCTAGAAACTACCACTTTCTAACTGAGTAGATAAATGCTTGTGGAATAAGTAAAACAGGGTATGGTATTTTCATCTAATGTTATGATTGGTGAGGAAGAGTTTACATAAAGTCAAGCATTATAGTGGAATGATGAAGAAGCTTAGAATAGTCATTTCAGGCAGAACCCAACATGTAGTCTGGGAATGTAGGAGTTTAGGAGTCTGCAGTAACTTGCAAGGGTTCAATATGTCCACATCTTTCTAGCTCTGTGACCTTGAGCAAGTTAATTAATCTCTCAAGGCCTCAGTCCCTTCATCTATAAAATAAGTATAGTAATAATGTACACTTTTAATTTCAAGTGCATAATTAACACTATGCTTACATGTAAGTACTCAGTAAGTCTCAATTCTGATGATTTTATAGACTGAATAAATTCCATTTCTCACACATATATACTAGTAATTTTAGAATTTTGAGATGTTATTGGAATTACTACACTATACATCCACTTAGTAGAATTGATACGTAGATAGGGATAGGGACAGAGACAGAGACGGGATATTTTTAGAATCACAGGTTGGAATCTTTAGTCCAGAGAAACTCAATGCTAAATTCAAGGCCACAGAACTTGTGAGAAGAAAAGTCAGAATCCAGCTTGCAGAATCACCCTTGTTTTTCTTTTTGCCATATTTTGCTGGACCACTCAAAAGAGAGAAACTGGTGTGGATCAATTCAGTGTCCTTATGGAGGCTTACCAGTGATCATGATTATGTCCATTTTCAGATAGAAACTTGAAAAAAATGGTGAGGGTCATGCTTCTTTGTGATAAGCATATCATAGGATTAATGTGAGAATAATACTTTTTCAAGTCTGAAAATTATTAAATTGATATTTTAATAATTGGATCCATATAGATCAAATGAGATTTGTCAGAATAGCAATGCAATTTTACAGATACATTATTGTTGCATCCTAGTTTAAGTACTTAAGATGATTATGTTTATCAGTATTACTAAATTTTTTCAAAACTACCCCCCCACCATTGACTTTATTAATTTCAGCCTGAGCTTCTTAGGCAGGAGATGAAGTACAATCATGACCCAAGTCAAATAAAATCTAAGCATAGTTGTTAACAAACATTTACATTGTTGCCAGAACTCAATTGTTATAACACTACTAAAAAGCTCATAAATTAACTAAAACTGTATGTTCTGCACTTTCCCCAAGAAATCTCCATGGAAAGCTTAAGCAATGTAAATGGTGTGTAGCTTTTGATGAATTATGCTGCTCTCACTCCTAATGTGGGGTTGAGTTTCTCATTATTAAATGGTCGTGTGCCAAGATAGTTGGTGGCCTAATGGTCAATTAAATTGCAAATGGACTTTAAAGACCAAGATTAGTTATTTCCCTTTACTTTCAATTTTTTAATAATTCACTCAAATCCCTGAGAAAATTTTAAATGTACCTCATTTGCAGTCAGGTGTTAAGAATTATAAAATACTGTTTTCCAAAATATTTTTTTACAAATAAACATTTTCAAATAGCAAATCAGACAACACTGGAATTATGAGATAGTTAGAAGTAACAGTGACAATGCCAATGTATCAGAAATGCAATATCTCCATTTCAGTATTGAGGATATTTAATTCTGCTTCATTGTTTCAGATTTACAACTTTCATACCTCAGAGGGAAAAGCTCCATGGACGTGTTTTGTGCAACAAGTATAGGTCTTATAACTGTGACCACTGTAAACAAGTGGTTTCAAAGGATTCACATTTGGGAAAATGCTTGAAAATTTCTTACTGGATTTTCCCATTGTCTTATATTACTCACTTTACACAGAACTTTAGTGTTGGTGGGAAAAAAGTACCTAGATTTCCTGCACCTCCAATCAAACCGTGCAGGAAGAGTTCCAGACTCATGGCCATGGCCCCACAGTGAGCCCATAGAGCACCCTCTGATTATCTGATATCATAACAGGGATTTGTGTGCAACACTGAAAAGTACCTAGAAAGCCATGTGATTAAAGTTGAAAAAACCATGCGCTTCTCTTCTATGGTAATCTATGTTTGCAAAAAAAAAAAAATTAAGAGGTCAGGAGGTCTGTCATATACAGATTGAGACATGGACACTGAATACAAAACAGCAAAAGATGCATTACAAATTATGGGCATGCACAAGGTTGAGGTGCATAGAAAACCTGGATCTGGCAACTCAGAGGAGGTGGGGGAGAAGGTACAGGAGGCCCTGAGCTTCTCCAGATGTCAGTGCTGCTTTCAAGTGTAATTCTCCCAAAGCTTAGTTGACTGTGACAGCCTTCTGGGGTGCCTGAGGAAAGGAGGGAGAAGGGGCAAGTCCTAACTAGGAGAGGGATCTCAGGATTTTTTTAAACTTTTTTTACATTATTATAGAGTAACAAGAAGTTGCAAAAATCATAGAGATCTCTCTACAACTGCTCTCCTCCATGGATACAGTAATACCTTGTACTGATGCAGCATTATCCGGCTTCTGAAACACATGGTCCCATGACTAACTATGTCCTGTGTACTTCCTTACAGTACTGTGAAAGGAAGAGCATTTGCTTTGTACCACACAGATGGTGTTACCCTGGGAGAAACCAGAGGGAAACATGTCGACATGAGGCACAGTATCTTGATTATGAGAAGATTCCAAGGCATGACCAGGAGAGCTGATGGTGGTGATGGGGAGGAGGAGACAGAAATGATGCATGTTGTTGTCAGGGGCCCCCAGGCCCTGAAAGGTGTAAGTACTAATATAAAAAACAAGAGCAAAATATTTGTGTTGTTATTAACATATGTACCAAGTCACCTGTTGTCCAGTATCATATAAATGAAGCTTTTCTGTCTTGAGAATAACTTATCTAGATAAGTAAAGGTGAATCCTTTAACACCCAAGGTATTAATGGGCCACTTAATGGAAAGTTTTCTAAATTAAAATATAGATTTCTCAACTGTTTAAACAATATATCCTATATTTAATTAAACATTCTTTTATTTACACAGTGTGCAATGTGATGTTCTTGAGAGAGCATCACCCCAGTGTGTTTTTAAAAGGAATTGGTTCTAGTAGTACTTTTGCTTTCAGTGAGCTAGATTGCCAAACAGCAAAATAGCACTTTATCTCTCTTCTTGATCCTCAGGATGGCTGTTTTGATCTAGAACCATTTTAGAACCACAAAGAGCCATCTAGAACAAGCCTTTCTGGGCTAGTTATTCAACACCTGCTTTGACTAGAGCAGCTCCTCATTTATCTTTACTATTTATTTGTAATATTTGAGATCTGCCTAAAATTTTACTTGAGAACAAGAACTGCTATTAAGACATATTTTGACAACCAAAGAATCAGATTATCTCTTTATGATCATGTGACTCTAGTTTTGCCATAAGCTAGGATTCACAGCTAGAATATTAAGATTCCCCAGGCTTTTGAAGATGTTTCCAGTAGATATTCCAGGTGCTCATCATTCTCCATCTCCCATGTATTGTCCTTGACTCCTGATGGGAATAGAATTTTAGCCATTGACAGTATGCCCTTGGGCGAGGGAGCAGTTCCATCCCACAGGAGGATGGAGATCCATTGATAAACTTGAAGCTGTGATTCAAATCAATTGAGACAAAGTATGAATAGTGTGAATGAACAGTCTCGAAGTATCCAAGATTTGCTTTTTTGAAAAAATCTCTTGTATCAGCATGAAGTTGAATGAGGAAATGTCATTGTGGATCAAGTTAAGGAAACATGACTATCTTTCTGTAAAATTAATTAACAAATCAGAAATTGACGTAATGGTCTTTCAACTGATCCTCTGATTCTCCGAGAGAGAACTGCATTCTGTTGCCATCTGGCCTTTTGACGTACCAGTGTTGTTCACATCATCATGTTTTTTCCTTCTTAAAAAAAAAATCCTCAAATTAATCATCTGTGTCTCTTCTGGCAGCTTGATTTCCTTGGTAGTTGATGTGATGGAAACAAGTCACATGCCTAAACATTTCAAGAATTTTTTTAAACTAGTCTCTGGGCAATTTTCTCTAAAACTCTCTTTTTTCCCATTGTCATCAAAAGTGCACCATAATTCCTGAAGTTAAAACACCAAAGATCAGTTTACTCCAAATTGTTCTGGTTGTTATATTTTAACAGACTCTGAGGCATGTGTAATATTAAAAATTATATCTCTAATGTTATAATGAGATTAAAAATCTGGCACACTAGTGGATAGTGAATCATATAATCACATTTCTTATAAAAATGCTTCTGTGACAGTTTAGATTCTAAATATCATTCACATTCATGAACTAAATCAGTGAAGAAATACTAAAGGTCAGGAGTGTTAGTAATGGACCCATCTCAAGGAAGTGCCCATAGGATAGCTTTATTTTTACTGGGTAAACCTTTGATTCTGACATAATCTTTTACTGAAAGTAAAAATTATGGAATAACCAGTCAGAAAAACAAATTGTCCATCTGTGTTTTTGCTGGTCCTCAGGGAGAAATAGGGAAAAGGGTGACATCTTTTGGATTCTCTAAAATGATTAACTTTTAAAACTTAGAATTTATCATTTTATGGCTGCATGGAGATTGGTCAGTACTTGTAAGAGTAGAATTTTGCAAGCGGGCCTATTTTTATTAGCACTGCATGACTTCAGAACCTTTACCAAAATTCTTTCCATCCACTTTCCAAGCCAATGACAAGATCATTCTCTGGATGATGGGCTTTGTGCTCTAATCCATTTTGAAGCTATTGAAGAATTTTTAAAATTATATTTATCATTTTGTCTCCCAAATTATACAGTATCTTTGATATCATATTTTGTTATTTCAGATTTATAAATGACAAAATTACTCAAAGAGTTCCATAACTCTTCAAAGATTAGCCATACAATCAGGAAAGACTCATGTCCAAATGTAGAGGAAGAAAAGTTTAAATAGCAATTTAGTGAAGGGTGACCATGTAAGTCACCATGCCCTCTACCTTATCAGGGAGCACATTACTCTCTTCCGTCTGCTTCATGCCCTGTTCCGCTGCATGGCCTTCTGGTCAACCCTTCTCGGAATTCCTCACAATAATGGAAGCTGCCTTAACCACATAAGTAAGTCTTTCTGGCTGATAACTTCTGCCTGTCAGTGAAGTTTGTCCAGACTGCACTTGTCCTCTGTGCAGAGCAGCACCGTGACAGCACCTTTGACCTATGGGAGGTGGAGACAAGCACTTACTAACTCAAGTTTCTAAAAACACAAGGGTCAGGAACAGTCAAAATGAGAAAATGAAATTAAGAGTTATTTCTTGAGGTAAAAATTAGCATTTGGCAAGACCCATCAAATGACTGATGCTTTCAAAGAGAGAGAGAGAGCCATGTTATCAGCAAAGCCAAGGAAGAAAGAAGTGGCATGGTGGCTCATTCCAACCCACACTCCTGCACCTCAGTCATCCTCTGAACAGCATAGACTTCCTTGAATTCAGAGCTAGATTCCAAATAATCCCTAGCCTGCCTCTCCCCACTGTCTTCTGAGGTCAGCCACCAAGTCTTCATGGGTCTCCAAACCAAAACTACTGAACATCAGCTGCAATCAGAAACTTGAGCCTACCAGGGACTTTCTGCATACTTTTGAAAATAAATGAAGTCTAAATACTCTCCTTCATAGTCATCATTTAAAAAGTCCAACCTCTATTTCTCAACAATTCTCAGGAATTATTTACAGTAATTTGTATGACTATATAAAATTATAGGCTGAATTTCCCATTTCTATCATTGGATTTAAAAAAAAAACATGAAATTTTGATGTTTTTGCATTCAAGCATATTCTTCTTCTTAGACATTAATAATGATTTGTGGGGGAGGGGGCCCCACTCACAGCCCTCCCCCCCCCCCCAGCTGCCACAGATGAGAATAAGTCTACCAAGACATGATCTGCTTGGGAAGGAAAGGTGGCTGATCTCTCAAAGGAGAAGGGCCAAGAGCCTTTTCCTCAATGGCTTTATTGGGTTTGTTTGCACAAGAATTCAGGTAAAGCTCATTAATCATTGCCAGGCAGTAAGGATCAAATAATGGATAACAAAGAACTCTGAGGGCCTATTTTGAGTCAGGGTCAAATAGCTAAAGAGCTGTAAAACTTTCAGGAACAAAGTTACTTCTTGCTTGGACCCTTATCAGTTAATTGAGAGCATTCTAAACAAAGCAGGTTTTACAGGATTTTACATATTCTTTCTTAGGCCTGATCACCTGGGAAACCTGCCCTTTCCAGCACAGGGCTGCACCACCCTGTCATTGTTTCAGGCTTAGGTGGAGCAAGGGAAGTAAGGCAGCCAAGAGATTAGGAGATTTTCTCGCAGACAACGAGGACTCAGGCTACGTCAAAGCTGAGAGGTGAGGGTCCATCACCCCCTTTTGCTGTAGCCCCCAAAGTCCTTCCTTGGGGGCCTCCCATGTGATTGTGCCTGTCTTAGATCATTCCCCCCTAAGGGGAATCTTACCTGTCATTGGCTAACTGACCAAGCATTGGGGGCCAGGCAGAGTGAAGTAAAAGGAACAGAAGTGGCGCTCCTGCCAGGGAGATAAGCTTTTGTCTCCTTGGTGGCTTACAGTCCAAGGTTGTTCCCTCAGCCTTAGCCTTGGCGGGGGTTACAGCTTCTGATACCAGGCAGGGCAGTTTCCAACAATGATTATAAAAGGAAAAATTTTAGTCCAAAGAATGTATAACATAAACAACAAAAGTCCAGAGAGGAGCTTAACTGGCAAATTGTCTGAAGCACTGCATTTGTTAACTGGCTTGGCTTGTAGCCATCTCACAAACTCATATCCTTTACAACATGCTGAAACTATTTATTGTGTGCTTGTAAGATTGATGCTTTTATTTCAATCATAGTTTAGTATCAAAGTAAAGGTGGAAGTGATTCCATTTGCTATTTTGAAATTTTATTTCAAAGGCTTTGAGAAAATTAGAATTCAAGTAAGATGATAAGTTAATTTGTGTCTCCCAAGTTGTACATATCATGTAAAAGTTAGAAGGTTTTTAGATACAGTGATATACATGCATAATGAAATGTATTACTCAGAAACTCCCTTTCAAACACTACAAGCAATGCTTTAATTTCACCAACATTTTTGTCTTGTTCAGAGGGGAAGGCATAAGCCTATGGAAAAGCAGTTCTAATTATGTCCTTTCTGGAATCTTCTATCATCCAAACCCATAAACATTTCTTTGCTGTGCTGTGATCCTGAGACTGGGTGAAGTTAATGTCAGAAAGAATGTAGCATTTCATTAAAAATTGTATTAAGCCATCACTCTAGTTAGTATATGAGGAGAATTGCTAAAGTAATAAAATGAGAGGGTGAAAGAGAACCTCAAAATCCAGCCAGCCATCACATGTTTTTACAGATGTGGTACAAGATAATGTGAAAACATGGAATTTGGATTGAATCTGAGACCAGTGTGAAGTATGACTGCCTCTTTCTAGCACTAGAGATATTACCTTCCTGGGCCTCAGGTTCCTCATCTGTGTAACAAAGACACAATATACAGACACTAAACAAAAAGTTGTAGTTAAATGCCTGTTTTATAGAGTAAATGTTTAGAAATGTCATTTTCCCCTTTCTATATAAAAGCATCTTGAGCTGCAAATGTGCTGGAACAACCTTCTTGACTTCAGCCTTGAGTCATCCTCTTACACCAGTTAGCACCTTGTGCCATCATCTGATGTGAACCTTCCTTGGGCCTTGCTGGGTGTTGTTACAGTTACGTGAGAAGATAACTAATGAGGTAACTGTATGTACACATGTAAGCAAGGTGATCTATGGTAAGACTCTGTGACTGTTTCTGGGGAGCTGATTTCCAAGGTTAACCTGGATATCTGAGATCCTCAAATGACAAATGAGATCCCCTTCATGGCACATAGGTTGAACATGTGTATGAGTTTTACTACACATTGGCATGACTTACCTAGTTATAGAATACTCTTACCTTTTCCAAATCCAGCTTCACAACCTTGTAACCCTGATGATGTCCCACCTGCCATAAACCTACTGTGAAACCGGAGATCACCCACACTCCTGGGGAGCAGCAGCAGTCTCCTAGTCTTTCTGTGAATGAAGAGCCCCTCACTCTGGATATTTGAGAAGGAGAGTTTGAGCGTACCAAAATTCCAAAGACTTTTAAAAATTGTTTTCCCACCCTTGATACATAGAAATTTCTATTCATCAAAGAAGATTCCCCAATCCAGAGGAACATGAAAAAAATTAAAATTATTCATAAGCCTAGCAACCCAAGATAATTACTAATTTTTATCTTTTCATATTTGGCATCAAAATGTAATAGAGGTTCTAACACACTTTTTTATTTAATAAGTAATATATGGCCAGCTTTTTCTATGCCATTAGATATTCTTGTACAATATCTTTCTTTAGTGGCTAAGTACAATGTATCCATTTTGGGCAGGGCATATACTAAAATAAAAGACACTTAATTGAAATAATGAGAGAACAAAATAAAAATTAGTATATAGCACTTGTCTTGAATGAATTAAATGTACTGTAGATAAATTAACCCAAGCAACCAGCCTTTGGTACAAATTGTGGGGGGTATGATAGGCAACATTTTCATTAGTATTAAATTTCAAATGATATCTGTTATATAACTTAACTGGTATAGTAGGCTGATATATAACAATCTAAAAGGGCTGTCTCTTTTTATAATTAAGACAATCAATATCAGAAGAACAAAGGCACAGGAAGCATTTAAAAATATATAGTTATGAAATACAAGAGGCACTTATGAGAAAGCAGGAAGAGTGTTTAGGAATGATTAGTCTGAGTGTGAGATGATGAAGCCACCATTAAGTGAGGGGTCTACTTCCTGTGGGCTAGGAATCAGAGGCATAACTGTGGGGCCTGGACAAGAGTAAGTGTGGGGGGTGTGAGCTGGCCATCAGTGTCCGTATCCTGCTAATGCTAATCGCAGGCTCTTGTGCATCTCAAACACCTCTTAAAGAAGAGTGTTTGTTAAACACCTAGAATGTGGCAGGCTCCTTGCTGGTGCTGGGGACACAGACACAGGACACTACCTCTGCTATTCAGGACTCAGGTACAGTGGGATAGCAGGACATAGATACACAGTGACATTGCCACCCTAAATGAAGGTTCTAAGGAACACAGAATAAATAGTGCACAGGGTGTCTTAGGGATGGGGTGTTTTCCTAGAGATATTATCTAAACTGAATCATAGAGTGAGGAGTTGTACTGCTGGGCAAGCCGAAGAATGGCCAGGTTTTGGAAAGTCAAACTAAAGCAAGTGCCCAGGGGTCACACGTGGTGCGCACACCCCGCACTCTAAGTTCCAGAGAAGATGGAAGACAAGTACAAACCCTGAGCCTTGTCCTCAGGATCACCAAGCCACATTCCCAATGGCTTAACCACCTCCTTTTTTGTTTTTTGATTGTTGTTCAAGTACAGTTTTCTGCCTTTTACCCCCAACCCAGCCCACCCCCCAGCCCTCCCCTTCTCCCTCCCATTTCCTCCCCCCCCTTCCCCCGTTATTGTCCATGTGTTCTTTATACTTGTTCCTGCAAAGGGCTTAACCACCTCCTGAGCCCACTTCCTTCTCAAATATGTTTACAGCCACCATCTGAGAAGGACTCACGGAGTCAGCTAATTCTAGAGGACTGATATTTGTTGCACACACACCTGCTTGCATATCTGGTCTACACCTCTCTCTAGTGTGCATTTAAGATTCACTTGGAACAACTGCGTGTTATTTTATTCCATCTCACTCTATTCTGTGAAAAGCCCCTGCTTACTTTGGGTGGTGACGTTTACGTGATGGTGACATTTACGCTACAGCCACTTTACAGCTGTAACTTGAGAAGTGCACTTGGCAGAGGTAGTCTGCAGCTTAGGAGTCATTAGGAGTGTGAGACAGGGGCCTGCCCAGCACAGCCACCCAGGCTCTACTTCTCCCTACACTGTGGATTTCTTTCTGTATGTTACTAGAACTCCTACAAACAAAATACTTTCAGCATCAGAAGCCCATGGAGTTTTCGAGGAGTGACCCAGAAAAACCCCTAGAATTTATTTATAAAAAATTGTGTATTTATTCATACATGTTTAAACTTGTCACTTTCAAAGTACTCCCCATTTGATGCAAGACACCTATCAACACATTTTTTCCATTGCTCAAAACAGTTTTTGAACTCATCAATTTTGATGTCTTTTAGTGCTTCTGAATTTTTTTCCTTCTTCCAATTTTATTTTAATCATTGTTCAAGTACAGTTTTCTGACCTTTACTCCCATCCCAGCCCACCCACCGCTCCCTCCCCACCTCCCTCCCATTTCCACCTCCCCCAGTTTTTGTCCATGTGTCCTTTATATTTGTTCCTGTAAACCCTTCCCATTCTCTCCTGAAATTCCCCTGAAATTCCCTCCCCTTTCCCCTCTGGTCTCTGTCAGCCTGTTCTCTATTTCAGTGTCTTTGGCTATATTTTGCTTGTTTGTTTGTTTTGTTGTTTAGGCTCCTGTTAAAGGTGAGATCATATGGTATTTTTTTGTTTCAGGTCTTCCAATGGGCAAAATGTTTCCCTTTGAGGACATTTTTCATCTGGGAAACAAAAAAAATAGTCACTCGGGGGCAAGATCAGGTGAATAAGGAGGGTGGGGAACAGGGTTCACACTGATTCTGGTCAAAAACTGCTGAACACTCAGTGCGATGTGGGCAGGTGCACTCCTAAATCACCCATCATGAAATGGGCAAACATTAAAAGAGTCTTCAAAAAAATTCACTAAAGCCAAATGCAGCCTCCCACAACAATGCCAGCTGGTACACTGATACAGATATGTTCTTAGAACACTCACCTTGCAAGGAAAGCCTGTGCTATAAGGGGCCTATTCTCCAGAAGATAATTTCATTTTGGGGGGTGCTGCCTCATTAGACAACATATTTCATTAGTGATATCAAGATTGGTGCATACACACAGCAAAATAGAACTTCTCTTTATTACAATTACAAAACTCTTGGAAAAGTTTGGAAGTGTAACACTTACTTTTAATATTACAAGTTCTTTTGCTGGTGATGTTGCCTGGAGAAAGCACTTAGATCTTCGCTTTTCAGACACTTTTGCTGGAAGATGTCATCAACCATGCCGCTCACCCAAAATGTCAAAGCCAGTATTTTTTTCTCAGTTTTGCTTCCACTAAGGCCACATGGCAAAGAAAACTGGAAACTAATTGAACAAACATAAAGCAACAGATACTGCTTAAGAGATAAATCAAGGCAAAACAAAGGTGCTTTCTTCAGTGGACATTGTTCATAATCATTGTTAGATGATTGGGAATCTGCACTGGGAATTCTGGCCAGCACCCCTGTGCTCGCCGGTGGTGAAGAAGTGGTGGCAACTTAGCTGGTGTCACTGTTCTGGGGAGCCAGGGAATGTCATATGCCAAAAAAACTTCCCACACCTCTGCTGTTTGCCCAGGTGAACCAGGAATGAGAGTGTGGGTAGCAAGCCTGAGAAAGGTCAGATCACACACACACATGGTAATTTATGGGCTTTCCTCAAATCAGAGGATCTGTGGCCTTGGCATAATGAACATGCCACTGCCCAAGTCTGATGTGCCCCCAGTGAGCTGATAGGCCCATAAGACTTCTCTGTTCTCTTTTCTTTGCTCCCAAGAAATCTCTCTGTGGTATAGGAAAATCCCTAACCAGACAGCCTCTCAGGGCTTCAGGTCCTCAGCTTTAGTTTGCATGGAGGTTTTCATACTATATGGAGTGTTATGGTGATTCAGAAACTTACTCTGTAATGCAAGTTCCCTGAAAGACTTCGGAAATGGTCCCTTGAAGAGTAATCCATGAAAGCTCCCTAGAACTAGGTAAGTATCACTGGAGGGGGAAGCCAGGTTCTGGCCTGCTGTGAACTTCCTCCCAACCCCAGGTGCTGCTGGGATGTCAGAGCTGAGCAGAGCTGGGGGAACAGGTGGGACAGGAGATGGCAGCCTGGCACTTTGTGAGTTTCAGGGAGAGTGTCTGTGGGGCCTCTGGGCACCATCTGGAGCCAGGGAGAGCTTTCCTCTCCTCCCTTCCCCAGGATCTGGCTGGCTTCTACTGATCCTTCAGGTCTGTCCCTACAAACCCATTATTACAGAACCCCTTTCTCTGCATAGCACTCCCCTTGTTACTGGATTCACCCTTTCTGCCAAGTCACTTGGAGGTAAATCTGGAGTCCTACTGTGTCCACCCCCTGCCTGGTACAGAGCTTGGCACTTAGTAGATGACTAGCAGACACCCATGGCCTGGGGCCGGGTCAGTGTCAGCCAGATTCTTCCCACAGAAGTGCCAGCTAAGGGGCACCATCTAGACACCTCTTGGCAGTGTCAGGGACTACCACCTGTGTGGGAAGACATCGTCACTAAACACCTGTAGCTCCTCTCCTCCCATGATGAGTCATCTCAAAGGAAAAGACACACAGCCAATGCTCCACTTGACATCAGGAATGTGGCAGGAAATGTTGGTTTTTACTGATGTCGTCTAAAGGTGACAATACATCTTCACTAGAAATCCTAGTGGAATAGGGGCTTAAAACTTCCAAAGTGGGCTTGAACTCTAGCTGGGTGCTCAGATTCCTGGTGCACTGAGGACCAAAAAAGGTGTCACAGGAACAAAACTGGCAGTGAATTTCATGGCACTTCTGATTCCTGGGAGAAATCCTTTAGGGCAGTAAGACAGGGAAATGCAGGAGCAAGTGAAGGGGGAGAAGCAAGTGGCCTAAAGGTTCCCTTTAAAGCACAGAGCAAAGACCCTAAGAATTCCAAGTTACATCTACACTTTAAAAAATAATAGATTGTATTTTTAGTGTCAATTCAGGTTTACAGAAAAATTTACTGGAAAATACAGAATTTTCATATACATTAGTCGCCCTTACCTGCGGTTTCGCTTTTGGTGATCTCAGTTACCCATGCTCAACCACAGTGCAAAAATATTAAAGGGGAAAATTACAGAATAAAATATTCATAAGTTTTAAATTGTGAATGGTTCTGGGTAGTGTGATGAAATCTTACACCATGCCCACTTCACCTGTTTGTCCAGCGGGTCCACGTTGTGTACCCTTCCTGCCCATTAGTCACCTTGTGGCCATCTCAGCTGTCAGATCCACTATCTTGGTGACACAGTGCTTGTGTTCAAGGAGTTCCTATTTTATTTAACAATTTCCCCAAAGTGCAAGAGCAGTGGTGCTGGCAGTTTGAATATGCCAGAATAGAATCCATCAAGTGCTTCCTTTCCATGGAAAGTTGAGGCCAGTACAATACAGTGTTTTGAGAGAGAGTGTATATTCACATAACTTTTATTACTGTATGTTGTTGCAATTGTCATATTTTATTAC